TCTTCGGATGTTCTTAGGAAGGCCTTGGCCTCTATGCCCTGTTGTTGGCCCTCCAGAGGAACTGATTGGCCACTGTGTGACACAGAAGGCTGGACTAGGTGGATCACTGGTCTGATCCAGCAGGGCTCTGCTTATCTTCTTATAGTAAAATATTTTGAAAGCATTTATTGGAACAAAAACCCCTGTCCTTAAGACATTCCAAAAAGCACTTCTCTCCTTGCGTAGGCAATGGAGTGTCCTTTTTATCTCAGTGGGTGGGTTCAGGTTTACTGTGTAGTAGCAGGGAATCGAGAAATCTATTTGCTAAAACCTCACGTCCCAGCAAGATTGCGATTCTCAAAGAACATAGTATCTGATTTTCTTTGGCGGGGAGGGGGGGGACTGACTTACCCGCCAGTAAGCACCGGAGAAACCACTCTCACAAACGGAGGGTCAAAGGGAAAGTTATCCTAAAAACAAGAAGAGAAGATTTATACCCCGCCCTTCACTACCCAAAGGTGTCTCAGAGCAGCTTACAAATTCCATTCCCTCCCCCTCCCCACAACAGACACCCTGGGAGGTAGGTGGGGCTGAGAGAGCTCTGACAGAAACTGCTCTTTTTCAAAGACAGCTCTTATCAGAACTACAGCTTGCCCACGGTCATCCAGCCAGGTGCAAGTGGAGGAGTGGGGAATCAAAACCGGTTCTCCCAGATTAGAGTCCGCGCGATTAACCACTACACCAAACTGGCTCTCTAACAAGAAGCAGATCCAAGATTTTAGGAACTCTGTATACTCCTTCTTCCAATTACTCATTCTGGAAACAGGATCCCGTGGACCCTTTGCCCCCAAATTAATCTCCGGAATAACTTCCCACATGACGCTGCACAAGACCTGGCTTTGAACAGCTCAGGAAGTTCTACCCACCCATCCCGTCAACCGCTTCCTCCTTACCTTAAAAGCAAAGTTGAGTAAAATATATTCTACGCCTTCTTTCTCTTTTAAGACTTGAAGGTCGCTATGTAACGGGCTGTCGGGATCCACCCTGGATATTATGACAAAGGAAAGAGGAAGAAGGAGAACATGAAGTCAAGCCAAATAGATTTCCAAGAGCTTGCCACCATTTTCAACTCAGCGAGAAAAGGTGGACTATAGAATAAACCAACAAACATGTAAAAATTGCCTTGTTTGTACACATCAATCGTTAAAGCCACAGATTTAAGACGGAGTTTCCGGGGTGGGAAACTTACTTGAGAAGTTTTACATGCCATTCGTACAAGCTGTCATTCACCAACTCCACTGAATAAATCCCTGTGGAAACAGAGAAAGATGGATTAGGAGGTGACTCGATTAAACCCCTTTGTGAGAAACGCTATTCTGGCTCACTCCGGCACTGGGTAGGGGAGGATATGTGCTCCCACGGAATGTTCACGAATATTCCATTTGCTAAGGGAACAGGCTCTGGGCCACTGACTGTTCGTGTGCATTTTCCATTCTGGAAATGGAAACGCCGCTTGGCTGAGGTGGACTCACATCGTTTCGTGAGAACCCACAGGGGCCCCGGGGAGACAGGAAGAACTCTGTGTAAGGAGGCAGGAACATGGGGAAATAGTCCAAGTGTGAAGATAGATCCAGGGGGTCAGCCGTGTTGGTCTGCAGCAGTAGAACAAATTTAGAGTCCAGTCGGGCACCCTGAAGGCCGAAAAAGATTTATTCAAGATGTGAGCTTTTGTGGTGCCACCGGACTCGGTTTGTTTTAGTCCAAGTGTGTTCATCTAAGTTTTTTTTTTAAAGCAGCAAAGGAAGAAAAATAAGAAATTGGATTTATGCCCGGTCCTTCACTACCCAAAGGAGTCTCAGAGCAGCTTACAATCTCCTTTCCCTTCCCGTCCCCACAACAGACACCCTGTGAGGTAAAAGAAGAAGAAGAGATTGGATTTATACCCCGCCCTTCACTACCCAAAGGTGTCTCAGAGCGGCTCACAAACTTCCTTTCCATTCCCCTCCCCACAACAGACACCCTGTGAGGCAGGTGGGGCTGAGAGAACTCTCTCGAGAACTGCCCTTGAGAGAACAGCTCTGAAAGAACTTATGATTGACCCAAGGTCATGCCAGCAGCTGCATGTGAAGGAGTGGGGTATCAAACCCTGTTCTCCCAGATTAGAGTCCGCACCCTTAACCACTACACCAAACTGGCTCTCCAAGAAGAAGAAGAGTTGTTTTTTATATACCCCACTTTTCTGTACCTTAAGGAGTCTCAAAGCTGCTTTACAATCCCTTTCCCGTCTTCCCCCCACAACAGGCACCTTGTGAGGCAGGGGGGGCTGAGGGAGTTCTGAGAGAACGGTGACTGGCCCAAGATCACCCAGCGGGCTTCATGGGGAAGAGGAGTGGGGAATCAAACCCGGCTCTCCAGATTAGAGTCCGCTGCTCTTAACCATGCTGGCTACACTTCTGTGCCAACCAATGTAGGAATTCTGCTTGCTCTGTCTCTCTGTTCTGTGAACTGCCTCTCTTTGGGGATATCAGCATCTGAGCGACACAAAGGTCTAAAAGACGGAGACGCCGTATGCCAGTGGGACACACAGCTGAACAACTCTTCTTTCCGCAGCCGTGCTCTTCCCAACACACGCTGGTCGATAAAGGGCCTTGGCCAGGACTGAGCATACACACACCCCTCTCTCCTCCGTGGGATTAGCGTTCTTTGAAAAAAGCTTACACCTATACACCCTGGGGGCGATTAAGAGCAAGCTTCTTAAGGGTGCATTCCCCATGGCAGTATTTAGACGACCCGGCCTAACTGGGAGAAGCAGACTGGGGTAGCCCTGTGCGGCGTCCTCGCTTATTGGGGAGACCGTTTCTCCTTTAAACCACACTCTCTGTACATGAATTTAGTAGATTTCTGCTGCCACCGGGAATTAAAAAATCCAAATCTCTCTCTTTTGGTAGAATGACCCTGCGTCTGGGCGCTTCAGAGGAGTATGTGGCCCTGAGGAAGGACTGTTCTGATTTCGGGGATAAGTTTACACAAATAATGATTTATTTATAAAAGAACAAAACAGGTTTCGGGGTATTTCTGAACTGTTGTTGAAGAAAGAAAATATAACTGACAAATACGGTAGCGCTTTTACGCCGTCTCGCCAACATTCAGGCCACGCACCTGTCTTGTAGCTCTGTGACCGGTAAATGTCCCGGAGTTCTTTCATAAGTCGATCCGACGCCTGCACGGACCCCGAGACGGCACCCTGCAAAGGAACAGACGGAAAAGGCTCAATTCCCCACAGGCCCTGATGAAAACAAGAGTCACCGGGAGCCGTACAAACAATTGCTTGCGGTAACTGGTGTTGCAAAAAGACCCCAAAACAAAACCATGCTCATGTGAGAATCTAAACCTCTAACAAAAGAGGCAGAGCAGAATTTCCTGGTGACCTGACCGTGTGTTCTGGATTGCAAAATATTCACTTTCCTTACGAGCAACTCTTTC